CTTCTGCCTGGAAACTCCAACAATTAGGGATTTGAAAGGCTTAGGCCTATTTAATCAATTTTAGAGGTGTTTGTCTCTCTGGCAAATTGTGAACCCTTGGCATCCCCCACCCCCTCCACCACCACCCTTGACGCGAATCCCTTTTTCCCCTTTTAAGCAAACCTGGTTACGACAGGCTACAAATTATGTAGGGTAGATTTTCAAATCTATGAGAAATCATTGAAGTTTACCTGAAAATGGGAGGTCGACTTTACTAAAATGACAATAAATTTTTCCCTCAAGGAGGAATGAAGAAGTGTTAAAGAGGACATCCGTGCGCATCGATTGATATCAAAACACCTTTAACAATTTTTTCCCGGCACATCAGTAAAACGACCAGTCTTATATGGGACCAAGCCAAAAGGATGAAAGGATGTACCATGGTGTTGCTCCTAAGCAAAAATGCGATTGCCTGTCCTCAATCGTTGTCTATTTTGGTCATATGTTTATCATCGTGATCATCATGACCGTATATCTCATCATCATCATAGCTTTTCCTAGTCACTTAACAATACCACTAAAACAATATCGTCACAATAATTTAAAAAAATACTACCATGTAAATGTCATTATTATGATCATATCAATGTGATCGTGATAACAGACTTAATTATAATTACTTTTTTTTGCAAATAGCTTTCCTTCGTCGCTCAAACTCGCCACTAAATCAATCGTCGTCACAGTAATCAAATCGCTCATCATCTAAATGTCTTTAATATTAATGTGATCATCCTATTAATACCTTTCACCATAATTATCATCCTCTAATTACCATTAGGCCTATTATTCCACTATCACCATAACTATTAGAATCATAATAATGATCTTTTTCGTCGTCATCATCATGCTACATTACAATATTTGAGAGCTTCTGTTGACGCTCCATACTTTTGCAAATTGATCAAGAAACCCTGGAGACTTGTCGAACATGTTATATGCACGTAAGTTGAAACACCTAGTTGTCTATACTATCAAATAGTTCACAAGACATACTTTTAACAAGCCCTTTTTATTCAAGGGAAAAAAACATGTAATTACGAAAATAAATACTTGAATATTTACCGCTTTATAGGGCTATTCTTGACTTTGTATCACTATTACGCTAGCTTCAATTTTCAACAAATGCGATATCTTCTTACTCATTTAACCAATCACTTATAGGTTTATCAGTATTCTACATCAATATTATAATGTTCTCTGAATTTTACTTTCTGTCTCATTCTCGATTATTATTTTTGTATAATTCGACAGCAAAACCAATGTCAATATTACTCCTTCCTGGTTGCTGTATGATATGTAGATTAGTAAGGAGCTTAATTGCACGACGGCGGTAGGATGTAGAACGTAATGACGTCAGTAAGTAATCTGCGCATGCGTAAACGTTAAGGTCACCTCGTCGAGTAGATTTGGCCAGGTCTACGTACGCAGAGAACGTAGGACGCCAGGTAGGAAGGTAACCAGTACCAGTCTCCTTTGGATTGAAATTTTGAAATTCTTCCATTACTAGGGTTTTGGACATGTCAGCCTAAATTCTTCAAAATTTTAATTTAATTGGTCTAATCCAGTAGGCGAATTTATTCGCGCGAATCAAAACATCGGTTTGCTTCCCGTGTTCTGATTGGTTGCGCATTGTGAATGTAAATGCGCATGCGCATCAGGCCCGTAGCCAGGTCATTTCAAGGGGGGTTCTCTTGGCGTTGGGTCCAGAGGTGGCACCAGGATTTGCCCGGGGTCGGGGGGGGGGGGGGGGGGCCCCGGCGAGGGGCCAGATTTCCCCCCCGAAAGCAAAGTGGGGGGGGGC